GAGGCGCGGGGCACCTTTTTACCCCCTGCCTGGGTTTTATCTGTTTCTTCTCTCTTTCCTTCCCCTGCGTTCCTTCGGACCCCCCTCCCGCCCGGGTGTCATTCCTCACCGCTGAGTGACAGCCGCAGGCCACGCCCCTGCACTGGGCGGTCCTGGGCGCTCCCGGCCGCACATTGGCTGGCTCCGGCCGGGAGACGTTCACTGAAACAGACAAAACTGGGCGCCTTGCGCGTAGAAAGTCGGGGTCTGACTTAACCCCTTTCCTCCCAAGTCTGGTTCGCGAAGCATCTTCCAGCAGCTAGGAGGCCGCAGACCCGCTGCTCGAGAAACCGCGGGTCTTACCTTTGTGGATGTGCCCACCTATTCCCGCGCTTTTACGCAACACCGTGTTTAGTTGAGTCAAAGTCTAGGCGGAAATCCAAGATCACGCAGTTCCATACATCGCGCGCATAGTTTCTGTTCTCTAGGAAGGTGCACAGAGATGAAGAACAAATTGCTTCTTGCGCTTTCACACTTGCCCCCTTACACTTTCGCGGCTCTTCACTGCTAATTCTTTACGCTAAAATAACCAGTTCATGAAAACCACTCTATTATTTTTCTTTCCAGACCGTATTTTATTTGATTCGCTTTCTGTAGAGGAATTGAAAAGGAAAAAAAAATTGGTACAGTTAGAACTAAAATCAGGCGAGAAATTGGAAGGCATGTTTAGGAGAGTTTCTGGAAATTGCGTGATTATGCACTGTCAATGCTGAATTTAATTGGAGTTAAATTTTGCACCAGGAAGAAGAAAGAAGAAGAAGAAGAAGAAGGAGAAGAAGACCCCTTTCAATTTGTTCTTTAAATACTCTGTACTTGTGAGTTGAATAAGATTATAAGATATGTATTTGTTTAAAAGAATTTCTAGGAATTACCATAGTAATGATCCTGAACTGGCATTAAATGCTCTTTTTTTTTTTTTTAAAAAAAACACATTGTTTTCTGTACAAGAAGGAGCCGAGTTAAAAAACACAAATATTGTGGGTATATCAAAACATTTGTTACTAATTTTTGTTGTTTATTTTTAAATAAAAAAAAATTTGCACCAGTAAAATGCTTTACTGTCTTCCATAAATTTTGCCAGAGGTTCAACTTAACACCAAATACACAACTGGAACCATTAAATACGTTTAAGGAACTGTGATTTTAATTTAGTCAAGTGTGGGGACTGGTGTTTTTGGTGTCACTAACATAAATAACATCGCCCTTGTTGCTTTCTTTTTGGCGGCTCTCAGCGGGCACCGCAGGATGGAACACACCCACTGTTCACAGTTTTCAGGCTCAGTGGGGGCTTTGCAGCATCTCTGCTTCCCAGCCCGTCAGCCACAGGATGCCTTTTGCATCCCACATACACTACAGTGCAGTCGTGTATTCGGTGGGGAAAAACCTCACGCTTGCAGAGGTCATTGCCCTTTGTAGATCTTCACGATGACATCAAGTTTGGAGAGAAAGGTAGTTTGAATGTGGTGTCAGTATCCCGCTAGTGTGAGGAACCCGAGGCTCTCCAGGCCCCGAGGGGAACAGAACCAAATGTTTCCTGGGCTTCCAAAGAAAGCGTGTCCTTGCCTTCCTCTCGCGACCTTGATTTATTCTCTAAATCACCCCCCCCCCACCTCCCTAAGCAATGGGTAGTTAGTCTCTGTGGTCCAGTCGAAGAGGAAGAGGAGGAGGAACAGGAGGAGGAGGAGGAGGAGGAGGAGGAGAGGAGGAGGAGGACCCAGGTTGCCCAGAGGTGAGAGATGGCAGGTGTGAACTGGGTGTCGAGAACAGCTATTCTTTTGTGGGGTTAGGACTTGGTGTGGACACATAATACGGACACTCTGACAGGCAGAGAAGTTTCGGGGTTGAATAACAGCCTGAGAGTAAGTGTGGGGGCTCTCCAAAGACTTACTTAGCTGCCCTTTATTTTTTAAAGACCCATCCACCCCACCGCACCCCCAAATCCAAGTAGGATATACCCCTTGACACAGGCTCGGGCAGAGGCGTTCAAAGCGTGGAAAGCTGTGGTTCGGTGATTTTGTGGGCTCGGAGTGTGAGACTGGC